GACCTCAACTGCTCCGCCCCGGGTAAGCGCGGGCCGCCGGCCCTGGCTGCCGTCCGCCCGCCCCGCTGTCCTTCCGTCCGCCGCCCCTCCCGCCCGCCTGGCCGCTCTCCCGGCCCGAGTGGAACTCCGCTGCTGACAGCCCGAACTTCCCAGGCTCGACCGTCTCGGGCTCTGGGCTCTTCTTCAGGAACTTTTCATGCCCCTCGGTTTTCTTTTTCTTTATTCCCTCGGCTGCCTTGGTTTGGGAGAGAGTGGAGAACAGCACTCTTTTGATTCCCTCGTCCGATCTGGAAGGTTTTCTAAGTTCTGTTGGTGAAGCAGATGAGCTGCAAGACTCGGAGGTGGCCAGTTTTGTTTTTGTTTGTTTGTTTGAATCCTCCTGCGACTCGGTAGGGAAGGACTCAGCCCACGATTTCTATTTGGGAGTGAGCTGGTTTGCCCCTAGTCCTGGGACATTTCTCCCTCCACTGCCGCGCTCCGTGTATTGCAAAGGGTATACAAAAAGCTTTCCTTGTTCTTTTTAAATTTTTATCTAGTAATTACACTTAGCAGTCTGCTGAGTCAGGTGCAAGCCCGGCCCTTGGGAGGCGGTCAGATATCTAGCACGGGAACAGATAGGCCGCCCTTGGCAGCTGAGCTGCCCCTTCTCTCAAACAAGCTAGAGGAGGGTGAGAACAACACAGCTCGGAGTCACAAGACCTTGGGTCAGAGCCTTGCGGCCTGTGAGCTGCAGAGTGAGAGAAGCTCTGACCTCTAATTTGTCTTGTCAGCGCAGCAGTTGTCAACTAATCTGGTTTTAAAAGAACTATTTACCTTCAGACGACTGTGTGGCTCTTCTTAACCTTGGGCCTTGTGTACCAGTGTCGCTTTATAAATTGAGCAGAGATGGGCAGAAGGGAAGGCAGGATTTGCACTGCCCTGTCACATGCAATCTCCATTCAGAATACTAATCTGAAACAAGGAGACTACCTAATAGGGGGAGATCTCTGGAGCTACACAGCTGAAACCCGTGCAGGCAGCTTTGCCTGTAAACCTATCTTTGACCTTAACCTAGTAATTAAAGACATCCTCAGATCGAAGCCCTCATCGGAAAGCTGAACATATGATTCCTATCAGCACACATTCAGTCTGAGGTTAGAAACTTCAAGTTGAATGAGCGTGAGGTGGTCCTGTTCTGAGCTTCTCATGTCTAGAGCTGGTGGAAAGAAAAATGCCTCATTCTTTTCGGAATTGATCATTTCCTGTCTACCGGGTTTCACACTTTGTCCTCATGAGTTCACAGATGGCTGGTCTTTTTATCCATTTCTCAAACCTTTTATTTTTCACTTTGACTTCTCCTATTTCTGCCCATAATTTTGAGCATCACTCATTGCTGATTTCTTAAAAGGAAATTTTTTCCCAGACTACATGCCGTTGCTGAGGCTGTGAAGAGGCAACAGGATGGAGACTGATTTCTCCTAAACCGGACTTTGGGCCCACACTGGACCCACACAGAGAAAAGTTGCTTAGTCAAATGTCAAATGTGGGAAATTCACCACCTCCACTATGTTCAAATAACCAAATATAAATAACCTTCCTTTGTTATTTATACATTTTCCCTTCTTTAGGCCCACCAGAAAAAAAAGTCGTGGTGCACCTTAAGAAGATGGACACAGCCTATGACGACTTGGGCAATTCCGGGTATTTCACCATTATTTATAACCAAGGCTTTGAGGTCGTGTTGAATGACTACAAGTGGTTTGCCTTCTTTAAGGTTAGTTTAAGTTTCCATTGATTTGATCTAAGGCCTGAAATCTCTTCTGATCAGGAACTTTAGAATTTTAATTTTAGATCAAGAGGGTTACCAGAATTGATACCACTTCTTCTAGGAGAATTTAGTGTAATGTTTCTACTTTATTTAAAATTATGATCTCAGGTTTAAAAAAGAAACCGGTTCTTTCTTTGAATATGTCCAATCCATTAGATTTACGTTTTGTAACTATGACAAAATCCTTGACTTTCTGAATTTCTGCACTTTTATTTCTAAATGTTGGCTTACTCTCTTGACCTTTGTGTGACTCTGTAGGGAACATGAAGAGGTTATAAACTGTGTATTCTTAGCGTATATGCTGCCTCTCTTTCCTTGTTTGTTGACTTGCTGCTCTACCTTGCTTGTTGACTCTGAGTGGTTGACCAGAATGACTCTTTGAAAGTACTACAAAGTACTACGTATGTTAATAGGAGTGCATTTTATGGCTAAATAACAGAAACAAAGGATAGGAGTTACTCTACTCACTGGGCTGATTGAAGTGAAAGCTCACCCAGGTGGTTCAGCTTGCGTTCTGCCTTCTTTTACTAGGAAAGACTGTGGTCCGTTCTTATATCAAACACACTGCTTCAAGTTGCAGACACACTGTGACCTAAAGAATTTAGCACGAAGTAGTCTTTCCCATATGTTCCTCTGAAAGAATTGGACCTTTTCCTGTAAGCTGAATATTAAATGGTTCAAGTACATTGAGTTTACAAAGCTGAAGCTAGCTGTTTCTCGTTATGCACGCAGAGTATAAATAGACATTTTTATGGGGCAGAGTTTACAGACTTTGGAGCGTCTGCCAAGAGTTGGCTGTTTATAATAAGTACTTGTGGGAAAGCGGAGAATGAATCTGTTAAGGATGACAGAAGACAAAACAGCAAGAGACACCTTACGTCTTGGTCTGGTTGTGCATGCCTATAACAGGCTGAGGCAGGAGGGTCACAAGTTCAAGACCAGCCTGGGCAGGGTAGTGAGACCCTGTCTCAGCATAAAAAGGGCTGGAAATCAAGCTCATTGCTCTCTGGGTTTATTCTCTAATACCATGGGAGGAAAAAGACTCAAATTTTATGATGTACCCTAACCCCATGGCTAATTTATGGTCTCTGTTATCATCATCTTTTTCTTTCTCTTTCTCTGTCTCTTCTTTTTGGCCACACAGTAGGCACTTAGTTAATATTTGTTTAAAAATAAAAGTAGATGACGTACAAAGCAGTTCAGAAATAAGGTGAGTAAAGTACTAAGTGAAAGGAGGGTAGTAGTACATAAATAGAGGGGTAAGTATTTTATTCACTTGCCTTAGAAAACTTCTTCTTCAGTGCTGGAGATTGGAGAAACTAGTGCAGAAACTTCTAAAAATCACCATTTAATTACCAGAGAATCAATTATTAGAAGTAGACAGGGAAGGTTCCCTCAATATTGTGTCATCAGGGACACAGGGAATGTCTGGTGGCTGAATGAAGCATTGGAGCTCTTCTTTACATTTCTTTTCAAATCAGCGTAGCAAGATTTGGTACAGTATTTTGCTCTAGCCTTGCAGCATAAGTCACATTAGGTCAAAAGGAAGCCAATTTTTAAAGCCAAATGACGTTAAAAATGTTCTCACACATAAATGGGAAGGAGTGAACGTACATGCAAATAAGCAGTGCCTTGCCAGGTATATTGGAGCCTTGTCTAAACATGTGCTTCTGATTGGCATGGGGCTAATGTTTATGCTTCACTAGGAATAACAGCAGAAAGAGCAGTCCTCCCCAACTGTTACATATTTTGTTATATATTTTATAAAGTTACCATTCAACAGAACCACCCGTATCATTTTTTCTTGCAGAAAAAAAATAAACCATTCTGGTTAGTAGTTTTGCCTTGTAATAAGCATTATAATTTTGATAAGCAGAGTAGAATAAACATAAGATAATTTTTAACATAGCTCTAACATAAGCAATAACTCCAGATAAACATTTTTCAAAATAATAAAATATATTATTTTACCAAATACAACTACTGCAAAATGATGAGAATAAAGGTATAAAAATTTAAGAAAACTATAGGATCAAGTTGACTTTAGGAAAGTTGAACACTTTTTGCGACATTCATTAACCCCAAGCTTGTATTTCCTGTAATGTGCTGGGAAGCCACAGTGGAGGGGATGTGTACCTCAAGAAAAGTAAGTCTTTGTAATGAGTAAAGCACAGGAGAATTATCTTTTATTTTTTTTAAATAAGGAATTATTAAAAGTTAAATTGTACCTGATATTTAGTTTCACAGTGTCTTATGCAAACTGGATCTGTTCAACCCAAGCAATTACAGAAATGGCTGAAAGTCGTAGAGTGTACACCTGCGGTAATTACTCTACATACTGTTACTCCACTGATGAATGGGATTTCCAGATCTCTCCCTGACTCATGCCAGATGATAGCACTGGCTTCCCTGTACCTTCGCGGATGTGCATTGCTCAGACTGTCTCTGCATGTTGTCCCACCCAGAGTCTGTGGAATAGGTGGCTCCTGCAGGGTCTTCTATTAGAACGCCCGCTCTGCCTTCTGTTCCCCTTGAGCATCCTGCAGCCCAGCAAGTAGATGCTGTTTCCTTATCATTCTCTGTGTTCCGACTTTGAATCCATTACAGTTCTTTCCTATTCCTAGGAACTTGATTTACTCACTTCCCCTATTTAGGGCTCATCTAAAAGATGAGCATTTTCTGTGACTTGAGATGCCTAAACAGTTTCTATTTTTTTTGTACCAGGAATCGAACTCAGGACCTTGTGCTTGCCAGATAGACTCTTGTGCCACTGAGCTGCATCTCTAGCCCCTCTATTGGTTTAAACACTTGAAAAATTATGGGTGAAATGAGGATAATTTATCATTTTTTGCTTGTGATTCCAAGCAAGATAGAACATAGAAGGTAGTAAATCTTGACGTTGAATGCTTTTGCATAGCTGGGGTTGGGCAGGCAGTGCTGGGTATGTATTTTTAAAAGCTTTTTTCTACTCTTCTCCAGGCATTCTGTTATCGGAACACTTTATACTGATTACAAACTCAGACACATTTCGGGCCCATCCAGGCAGGTTTCTTAGCATTTGGAACAACCTCATATTAAATAATAGGGGGTAATTAGGCCTGTGGCCACTTGGAAACTTCTTAGAGGCTTCCTTTTAAAAGACTGCAGCCAAAATTAATGATAATATTATCTGCAGGCCAGTTTCTAAGACACCAGATTTTAATACTAGTTACCGTTTAGTTATATTTAGCGCTCTAGCAGATTTGCACCTCTTATCTGTGTATTAAAAGCAACCAATCTCCCATATAAAAGCACAGTGCAACACAGTCAAGCAGAACGTAACAATAATGGTGTGTGACTTGATGTGATAAGTGGCTAAGTGATTGTTTCCCTTCCTTTATGCTTTCATGTACTTGGTTCATTATTTTTGTAGCGATAAGCATGTGTAAAGCTGGTCTGTACAACGTCCCAAATTCCCTACCAAATTGCCCAGAGGAAGGAAGTCATGTGACACAAACTAAGCTCTGAAAAATGCCCAAGAGTTGAATAGGCCTTTTAACCTTTTCCTGTGTTCTTATTTCACTTTCTCTGAGGCAGTAAAAGAAACTGGTAGAATACAAAGGAGTAGAGGAGGAACTGACTTTTATTTTGAAGATTCAGGTATTGAAAGACTGGAAAAATACATGGGAAGGAAACTAGACTTGTTATGGCTAAAAATGTGTCAGACGATAATGAGATGCATCTAAGTGATTTCTAAGTGAGCTCTCCTCTCAGGCCCTTCAGTATTAATACCATTCTAAGCTGAAGAGCGACACTGCCAAGGTGTTTCTAAAGCAGGTTGCTGGGGCTGGGGATTTAGCTCAGCGGCAAAGCGCCTGCCTGGCAAGCGCAAGGTCGTGAGTTCGGTTCCCGGTACCGGAGAAAAAACAAAAAAAACAAAAAAAAAACAAAATAAAGCAGGTTGCTACTTAAAACAGAACCAGCATTTGAGAAGCGCCTGTCAGAGGACTTAGTTGCCTGTTTTGTGTGTTGTTTGTCAGTTTTAAGCTTGTAACAACCGGAAATGTCAGCCACGTTTCCAAAATGAAGGATTTTACAGCTGTGCTCCCATTTTTCGCTGTGCCTTCTGCAGTCACTTCTAAGATACAGCAACTACAGACTTATTTTTGAGGTACGTGTTCAAGGTTCAGGATATCAAGCTCAGAATTTGATCCTTTTTATTAGTGTTTCAACTGAGGGAAAGCATTAGAAGATTAGTATTTAATGCATGCCAGTTTTATTTTCTTGGTAATATTTAATTTCAACATGACTCAGTTTACCAATATAAACTCTTCATAGGATGTCACAGATTTTATCAGTCACTTGTTCATGCAGCTGGGATCTGTGGGGATGTATGATTTACCACATCTGAGGAACAAACGGGGTGAGCGCCAATGAATTGTTTTTAACTCCCTTATTAAAGTGCAGTTTCTCTTTCCCTCTTGGCTTATGCACATCATTGTCTATTCAGAAAGAAGGTGACCGCAGCGGTTACTGTGTTCTTTTCTCTGCTACTTCTGACGTGCATGCATTATTCATTGTGTTTTCAATTTCGTGTTGTTTGCACACCTCAGATCCAAAGAATAATATTTGTAATCTGAGTAGACATGAACTCAAAAAGGTAAAGTCCCTATTAAGAAAAGGTTGGCTCCAGTTCAGCTCACGGTCTTGAAATAACTATGCCGCCGCGGGTTGCCATTGCTTTCACAAATAGTCTCTGAAGGAAGGGCGATGCTTTGGGTGAGATGATAAGGCTCTTTCAGAGCAGTTGAGACCTGTCCCTCCTTCCTCGGAAACATCACTCATCTCTTTAAAACTGGCTTTCCTACGAACATAGAATGTTGACTGGAAAGACAAGGATCACTGTCGCTCTTTACATTTTCTTCACATTTCAGAATAGGTATTTAAATCACAGCTCACGCCGGCCA